CTAAATAATTAGCTAGAGGTATTCAAAATGGTTGTTATTTACTCCATCTCCTATGGTGAACGGCATATACGTAATAAACTATGAAAACTATACGATTACAGGAACTAAAAAAGGTGAAATATATATATATATATATATATATATATATATATATATATATATATATATATATATATATATATATATATATATATATATATGTGTGTAGTGCTGATGAGCAGGATGAAAGTAACTGCTATTTACAGTTACCTTTGATGCCTCACGATTGTGGGACATCAAAACCATGCCAGAGCGCTCAAACTGCAAGCAGTGAGCGTGCGCAATGCGTAAGCGGCATGGCTCATCCTATATATATATATATATATATATATATATATATATATATATATATATATATATATATATATATATATATATATATATATAAACGGGTTGTTTTTCGTTGAAAGACTAAAAAGAGTGCTCAATACTACTGATAAACAGTACAGTAGAGCTATGTAATTAACGTTACAAATATCTTAAAATAACATTTTTTTTCGCTACTCTGAGTTTCACGATCTTGTCTCATCGATCTTCAGGCGATTTATGTCCGTTTAATTAGTTTGTTTGATTTCGTGATTTTCGTTGACGCACGCGCTGAAAACTTCCAGCTTGGAACCGATCTTTATGGCGACATTTTCCGAAGATATATATATATATATATATATATATATATATATATATATATATATATATATATATATGCGTAGTTTATTCAAGTGAATTTTCATCAACTTAAGTACCCAAGAGGACTAATTTTTAATGGTGAAAATATGCGATTTTGACTAACATATTTTTATCACGCCTGACAAAAATGCATGCCAAAGCGCTAACGTGCTTCAATTTCTTTAATTTTCATCCTGTTTGTACAAAATTTCGCATAGACGTAGAACATGTCATTCTTCGAAATCGTATGTTTTTTGTTTTTCGAATTGCTACATTTTTGGCGGGAAAATGACGTCATCAACTTGCCGCTAAAAATTAACAGTTAGCTAATGTTAATTTTATGCACTTATTCGGTAGCCGACATTGAGAGAGTCTTAAAACTGAAGTCTGTTTCGAAAAAGAACCATTCCTTGCGAAGATATCATGATTCAAATTTCTAAAAATCGGCCATTTTCGTCTATTTTTAGCAAAAAATGGCCGATTTTTCGACATTTGTACCGTATTTAGAAACGGAGTTCAGTTTTCTGACCCTCTCAATGTCGGCTACTGAATAAGTGCATAAAATTAGCAATAGCTAACTGTTATTTTTTAGCAGCAAGTTTGTGACGTCATTTTCCCGCCAAAATGTAGCAATTCGAAAAACAAAAAACATACGATTTCTAAGAATGACATGTTCTATGTCTATGCGAAATTTTGTAGAAACAAGATGAAAATTAAAGAATTGAATCACGTTAGCGCTTTGGCATGCATTTTTGTCAGGCGTGTATCGGATTTGTATTTGCTCATTTTTTATCCATTTGGCATGAAGAATATATCATTCAACAGCTAAAAGCAGGCCTGATCTTTCCGAATATGAAAAAATCCCGTTCATTGGCTGAGTAATTCAGATACAATAGCGCTCTGAATTTCCAATAACATTTTTTGACAGTTCTCTCAAACCACGGCTAATAGACCTAGGTCTATTAACCGTGCTCAAACAATGTAGCAGTAATTAAAACTCAGTTGCACTATACAAAGCTTGTTAAATATATTTAAGAGTTTCAGAGGAAACAAATGGCTTTGCGCGGCGCAGCGTACCAATGCCTTTTGATACTTTTTTACTAATACTTTTTTACTACCTTTGCAGCTGCTATTGCAGCAAGTGTTCCTCAACTTGGAAATGTTATGTCATTGGCTGGCTCGTTTGTGACAGCAACTATTGGCTTTCTACTTCCTACTGTGTCGCACACGTTACTTTTATATAACCAACTATCAAGATGTAGCCTATTATTGTTGCAAACATTTTCCTATTCGCTGGACTACTCGTTCTTTTTTCTGGCGTATATACTTCAATTGTAGAAATAGCTAATGATTACTAAACGACATGTCACACATATAATTGGATATTTTATACGAAATGTACGCATGAGTGTGTGGCTATAGTAGGGATATATAGGCCATCAGGAGAAAACCCCGTGCATTTCACGAACGAAAAATTTTATCGGGGTGTGTATGTAGGACTGAAAAGTGAAACGCGTTCAAAAATGGCGATTATATATATTGCATGCATTTTCTCAAGTACTAGTTTTTTACCATAAAACATGCTATATGTTCACAAGGAAGGTTGAAAAATCATAAAGGCCGTTTACATGATACGATTATAGTCGTATGAAAACGACTGCTCACGCCACTAATTCTGTTCATCAGTTTATGTGAAGTTTGAAATGCGACATTCTTTCATGTATTATTCGAGGACAAACGCCAGGACACAGAATAGAAAAAAACAGAAGATCGATTTCTTGGTCTTCCTATGATTTGGGCGTAACCATAATTCGTCATCAAAGTGTTGACGCCATGTTCCTAACCAGTGCGCTGATGAGGGGCATTCACCACCTGATAATATTCAAAATGGCGGACGTCCAGGACCATGGCGTCAGGATGTTGATGACGAATCATGACTTGGCGGGGTTACGCTTTTTTGGTTGAGTCGACCTTCTTTGTGTTTCTATGCTGTGGCCAGGATAAGAATCGTATACGACTTGTCGTAACGTGTAACTGGACCTTAATTAATAAGATATCTTATCCTTTAAGATATCTTATCCAATGCTTAGCATTGTCATTAAGCACGATCGGAGGCGAACGAGTGCCTAAATCCTATACTTTATATAGCGTTGACATTTGTTATGTCTTGTGTTTTGTGTTTTGTGTTTTCGTGATATTTTTATACATTTTTATGCGCTTTGTTTAAATATTGAAATTTTAATTTATGTATTTAAACTACGCACATATTCATAATTATTATCAAGTAGGAATAAATCTTAGCTAAACTATGACGAGTTCGTGATTAATTGCTTTTTCCAACCTCGTACCCGGGGCATTTTGCCTCCGATCCATCCAACCGCGCAAGCAAAAAGCCCTGGATACGAGGTTGGGCTAATGTGCTACAGAAATCATTTGGGATTCGAAAATGGTTAAATTTAATTATACGAGCTAGAGAAAAATTATAAGCAGAACAAGTTGCGGAAGGTTTTCAACAACGAGCAAGTGGTTGTGTGGTGAGGACTACAGGTTGTGTATACAAGCTAGAGAAAAAATATAAGGTGAATTAATTGTCGATAGGTTTCATACAACGAGAAAATTGTTTAGTGGTAAAGACTACAGGTTGTGTAACGTACCATTGAGGTTCAGGTCCCAAAGAAGTCATTTTGGGATTCGAAAATGGTTAAATTTTAATTATACTAGGCAGAAGGAAATAAGGTAAATAAGTTGCAATAGGCGTCGAACAACGAGCAAATGGTCTAGTGGTAAAAACTACAGGCTGTGTAATGTACCATTGAGGTTCCGATCGCAAAATGTCAGTTTGGGATTTGTTAATTATACAACCTAGAAAGAAAAATAAGTTGCGAACGCTTTCAACAACGAGCAAGTGGTCTAGTGGTAAATACCACAGGTTGTGTAATATACCATTGAGGATCAGGTCCTAAATAAATCATTTTGGGATTCGAAAATGGTTAAATTTTAATAATACAGCCTAGAGAAAAAAATATAAGGTGAATTAATTGTCAATAGGCTTCAAAGGACGAGCAAATTGTCTAGTGGTAAAGACTACAGGTTGTATAATATACCATTCAGGTTCAGATCCAACAGAATTCATTTTGGGATTCGAAAATAGTTAATTTTTAATTATACTAGCTAGAGAAAAAATAATGTAAATAAGTTGTAATAGGCGTCAAACAACGAGAAAGTAGTCTAGTGGTAAAAACTACAGGCTGTGTAATCTACTGTACCATTGAGTTTCAGGTTTTAATTATACAAGCTGGAGAAAAGATAGGTGAATAGGATGTGATAGGCTTCAAAAAGTGAGCAAATGGTCAAGTGGTAAAGAGTACGGGCCGTGTAATATACCATTGAGGTTCAGGTCCTACAGGCAGGCTTTCAAAAATGAGCAAGTGGTTTTGCGGCTAAAGACTACACGCTGTGTAATGTACCATATAGGTTTACGTCCTACAGAAATCATTTTGGGATTCAAATATAATTAAATTTTAATAATACAAGCTAGGGAAAAAATTCAAAAAAATAAGGTAAATTAATTTGCGATAGGCATCAAAAAGCGAGAAAATGATCTAGTGGTAACTGAGACTACAAGCTGTGTAATATATTATTGAGGTTCAAGTCTAACAGAAGTCTTTCTGGGATTCGAAAATGGTTCAATTCTAATTAGTATAAACCTACTAGTAGGCTATCATGTATCGTGCGTTCTGATTGGCTACGCTGCTTGTAGGCTATTAGTGATAGCCTACTCGTAGCAACAGAGGCGAAGGGTGCGAGAGCTATAGTTAATGGCCGTTTTTAAGTATTAAAAGTTGCATTTAATGGGAAAAGGCTTATCAAAATAGCCTAATTTTGGTTCTGGATTACACACAAAGACTCTTGGAAACTGCTGACACATGCGGTAAAATTTTCTCAACTTTGCTCGTTGTTTTGAGCATGCAAGTGACAGGCGATTTTTTAAAATATATGCACAATTAATGTTTGTTTATAATATTCCAAGCAGAATCGTTGAAATTCAACAATACTTTGTAGCTATTTACCTCTTTTTCTCAACCCCTTTAGTGTGTGCTTGTTTTAAGTACGAGTTCATGTATTTAGCTGTCATTTTAAAGAGTTTTTTTTCGTTTAAATGTTGAGATTTTGGCCGAGTTTATTTTTCGCCTTTTCGAGCCTTTTTAAGTCAAGTTTTTCGACTAAATTTTAACCTAAACTATTGTCTATGTATACAAGATTATGGAAATGGTTTGCTTGGGATCAAATCGTAGAAAAATGCTATTCAAAACAACTAAGAGAAAGACTCTTAGCTCAGGAAGAACTAGACCTGGCTAAGACCCTCAGAATAGCAAGAAGTAGCGAAAGCGCCATAAAAGAAGCACGACTCCTTTCTGGTTATGAAACAAGAGACAACATCATTAACATTGACCGGCTGAATAAGCCTGACAAGCGAAATAGGAATTACAATAGTGAAAATTTCAAGTGCTATAGGTGTGGCGGCGTGGGCCACAAGCCATCAGATTGTCGAGCCATAAGTATGAAATGTAATAACTGTCAAAGGTTAGGAGATTTTGCTCGAGTATGTCGCTCGAAGGGTGTATCTCGAAAGCCGTATGAATCTCAAAAGACTTCGAGTAAAAAGACGAAAGCGTATAGACACGTACGTGTAATTCGACGCAAAGATTCAGATAGTAATGAATCGTGTATTGAAAGCGAATCCGAAGACGAACAGATTCTGTTCATGGAAGGGCAAGACAGTCCTGTCCAGATTACAATCAATGGTCGCAAGATAAAGATGGTCGCCGACACCGGTTGTAGGCAGAACATTATTTCTTCCCAGTTGTATACAGAGCAATTCAAAGAACACCCACTCAAAAGCACAACCAAACAGTTTGTGGCATATGGTCAGAAGGTACCGCTAACCTGCCTTGGTCGATTTAAAGCCAGTTTGAAAGCGGGTATGATGACTATTCATAGCTTTGTGTACGTAATTAAAGGCCAAGCCGAGTCGCTGCTCGGGAGAAAAAGCTGTTTTGACTTGGGAATATTCAAACAAGTCAAATTTGTGAAGCAGACTAACTCTAACTCTAAGAAGATTAATGACCCAAGATTGAACTCATTAGTTAATGAATATAATGACTTGTTTCACGGGTTAGGTCAAATTACAAATTATTAGCATAAAATTAAACTAGATCCAAATGTTAAACCAGTAAGCCAACGTCTGCGAAGAATTCCCCTTAGTCAAATAGAGCAGGTTAATGATGAAATTGATAAAATGTTGAAGGATGACGTCATTGAAGAGGTACCCGAACCAAGCCCTTGGGTTTCCAATCTTGTAGTGGTGCCTAAGGCATCAGGAGGTTTAAGGGTTTGCTGTGATTTTAGAGAGTTAAATAAAGCCATTGTAAGGGAACGATATGTCCTTCCCAAAGTAGAAGACACTTTGGATGCCCTAAATGGCTCAAAATATTTTGTAAAAATTGATGCAAGAAGCGGATTTTTCCAATTAACGCTGTCAGAGGAATGTAGATATTTGACAAAGTTTATAACAAACAAAGGGTGTTTTCGTTTCAAGCGTGTTCCGTTTGGGTTAAGCGATATCAGCGAAACCTTCCAAAAAGTCATGGAAGAAATTTTGTTCGGCCTAAAAGAGTTAGAAATCTCGGTAGATGACGTCATCGTTCATGCAGTAACGATGGATAAATTAATAAGTAGGCTGCACGAGATATTTGAAAGGTGTAGGGAACGTAACTTAAAGTTAAACCCTAAAAAGTGCGAGTTTGGGCTTACCCAAATACCGGTGTTGGGTCATGTCGTGTCAGCCAAAGGTATTCAACCAGACCCAGTCAAAACTAAAGCAATTCAAGAGGCCCCTCCTCCTGCCAACGTTGCAGAATTGAGGTCATTTTTAGGCGTTTGTGGCTATGTATCGAAGTTTATACCGAATTACGCCAAGCTGGTTGAACCCCTTAGGCGGCTGACAAGGCAAGGCACGAACTGGACATGGGATAGTGAGCAAGTAGAGTCGTTTGAGGAGTTGAAACGTGCACTTTCTAACGAACCAGTGTTGGCTTGTTTTAAGTTAGATGGTCCCACTGTTCTTGTAACAGATGCTAGTCCAGTAGGACTAGGTGGGGTTCTGTTACAGGAGCAAACAACAGGTGAGCTAAAGCCTGTCGCATATATAAGTCGATCTCTGACACCTACTGAAGCGCGATATTCGCAGATTGAACGCGAGGCACTGGCATGTGTTTGGGCGGCTGAAATATTTCATAATTATGTTTTTGGTACTGAATTTACGTTGCTCACTGACAACAAACCATTAGTCAGTTTGCTTTCTTTAGATTGTAAAAAGATGTTGCCCCCACGGATTCAACGTTTGGCGTAGAGGCTGCATCAATATAAGTATAAGATAAAACATATTGAAGGTAAAATGAATATTGCCGACTCTTTCTCAAGGTTGCCTTTAAATGAATTAGATGAAACTAGTTCGGGTAACGTTGCGGATGAGTATGTCAAATTTGTGGTTGAAAATGATGTGCCTAACAATTGTGCGTTGTCGTTATCAGAG